CACACAGCGATGCTATACGTTAACCACAATTGGGGTATTACTCACACACAGCGATGCTATACGTTAACCACAATTGGGGTATTACTCACACACAGCGATGCTATACGTTAACCACAATTGGGGTATTACTCACACACAGCGATGCTATACGTTAACCACAATTGGGGTATTACTCACACACAGCGATGCTATACGTTAACCACAATTGGGGTATTACTCACACACAGCGATGCTATACGTTAACCACAATTGGGGTATTACTCACACACAGCGATGCTATACGTTAACCACAATTGGGGTATTACTCACACACAGCGATGCTATACGTTAACCACAATTGGGGTATTACTCACACACAGCGATGCTATACGTTAACCACAATTGGGGTATTACTCACACACAGCGATGCTATACGTTAACCACAATTGGGGTATTACTCACACACAGCGATGCTATAACTTAACCATAGACATTTCTATGCCATAGACTAAGCATTACCCACGTTATTCCTATGCCATAGACTTAGCATTATCCACGTTATTCCTATGATATAGACTAATCATTGCCATAGACTTAGCATTACCATTATCATTATGCCATAGACTTAGCATTACCCATGTTATAATATAGCCGTCGACTTATGATGTAATCCCATGTTAATTCCCTATAGACTCTAGAACCCTATGTTAAAGTGAAGCCATAGACTTAAGCTGTAATCCCATGTTAAATTCCATAGAGCGGAGGGGGCAGCCAAAGGATCCTATAAATCATATTATTCATATCAGAATAGTGGTTAAAAATATATTATAAACAGTAACAAAACGTTATGATAAAAATAGTAATGATTTTTACGAGTTAAGTGAATGTTAAGTAAAATGGCTTTGCATTTAACAAATAAACTTTCTTTCATCTCAATTTATAATTGTATTACCGGTCCAATGAACTACATTTAATATTTCATTATTTGCAATAAAAATAACTATTAAATTGAATTAGAAAATGCCATTTTAAGCCTATTAAAATACAATTATCATAATATTGATTATATACTATTCATTTATAATTATTACTTAATATTAACGCTAATATAAAAATGTGGTGAAATAGGTTTATAACATTAACAACCGAAATATGTAGAAATACAAACTATCCATAAATTAGAATCTATGGATGACATGTTTTTAAGATGCAATGAATTGAATGATTTATTATTTAATACAACTCTGAAGAATTTAATCGGTAGCGCAATCAATGAATTTACTTCTTATCATATGAAAAATTTTATTTTGCAGTCAATAAGCAATTTGTTAATCAAAGCATAATACAAATACACCGTCTGTTGGTTGACGTGCCGTATCTCTCGTAAACAGAGGTAACAACTAAAAACTGAGCACTAAGATTGGCTTAGCTCGCATGACAATCGGCGAGAGAGAGAGAGCGAGCGAGAGAGAGAGAGAGAGAGAGAAAGAGAGAGAGAGAGAGAAGAATGCGTTTAAGATATGATCGGCTGATCCATCACTCGCGAGATGTCCATTGATTAGTGAATGGCTTTTATCCATACATTTCATGTCTTCGGGAATATCACCAATAGATAAGCCATTCTTCCTCTGGAGAGCACTTCCCACACAATCCACGAATTGTTGCGAAACTCTTTCCAAACGTAACAATTGTCTCACATTTAACTCATTGAATATCATTATCAATATATCGTCGCATAATATATGCGTTTTTAATAGGTTTTCGTTTACAGACATTGATTTTGATTGTAAGTAAACTTATAGTTATAGTTATAATCAGTTATATTTAAATAACTAAATTAAATTTAAAACATGTAGTCTTATTGTCTACGGACTGAATGACTGAATGAGATTAATGGCAATAATTGATATATTTATGTAAACTAAGGTAAGTATTAAAATCAACTTTAAGTTTGGATTAAAACTAAATGTAAAGTTTGAAATTTTAATGACTTGATTAAAAATTCAATAGAATTTACCATAATTTACAGCATATTAGTCAATGAATTAATAATTATAAACCCGCGTTCACTATATCTATACTAAACAACACAATAATATAAATGACATTTAATTTAACTTGTTTAAAACTTTATTTAACTATTAACTAAGCTTATGTGCTAAAGTATGGTATGATTTCATTATCGCAAATTAATATTCAAAAATATTTAAATAAAACGCTAAATATTGTATTTTAATATTGCATTAAAAATTTCCCATAAGATTAACAATTATCAATAAATTAAAAATTATTAAATAATTAACATTTCAAAAATATAATAAGCATTGAGAATAACTATTGTAGATTAAATGTTTATATTCAAATGAATTAATGATTGGCTATATATAGCTAATTTATAATTTAACATTTAATAATTTACATAAAAGTGTTATAACTTTTATTTTAACAAATAATATAAGTTTATAATTCAAATCCAAAAATACTAATCATTTAATAAATATTTGTCAATACAAATTGTATTATACAATAGTCTTTAAAAAACAAATAAAATACTGTTATTATACTTTGTGATGCTCACATGCATATTGCTATATATGTAATTGTATTAATTGTATTATAATTGTAACACAATATTAAGTTATGTGTTTTACGCCCCAATAAAGTATAATTGTTTTGTGTGTCTAAAAGTGTGGATATAATTACCCGCCGTTAGCCGCGCAGCGCTCGACCGGCACATTACCCCAAGACACTGGTAGTTTGACCAG